GAATACCAAAGTAGTTGGAGAATCCACCGCCCGAGTAGAACCCAGCGATATCATCTCCCACCGCCACCTCGGGCGCGAATCCCTGCGTGGCACCGACCGTGGTCGCGTACGGGCACGACGCGGGGAACGCAGGCAAGAACTGCCTCGTCCCCTTGGGGCTCGTCGCACCGTTCGACACGCACTTGCCGTCGCTCCCCACACCGTTGTCTCCCGACGAGTAGATGGTCGAAACGCCCCTGGCACCGAGCGCCATAATGTAGTTGCACACCCTCTCGGCATACGCCCTCGGCACCGTCTGCTCGTCATCGCCATAGCTCGTGCTGAGCACCTTGGGCAACTGCGCGTCGCTGAGCGAGATGAGGTAGTTGAGCTCCTGCTCGTACGGCTCGTTGGTGTTGTTCACCGTGGCCAGATCGGGCACGAATGGCGGCGATCCTCCCGTCGAATAGTAGGTAAAGGGAATCGGGTACACAAAGCCACCCATGGTCTGGACGTCCAAGTTGGCCTCGGATCCGGGCATGCTCTGGGTGTTGAGACCGCCGTTGATGCTCTGTACGGTAAAGTTGTACGACTTGGCCGCATCGGGACGCTGCTGCTGGAGGAATCCCGAGAAATCGGCAAAGTTGGCGAACTGCTCGAGGAATCCGCTGATGCCCAGCTTGAACTTGTTGGCGGCCTGGGGCACGTAGTCGATGGTCTTGTAGAACGTGCGCAGGCACTCGGAGGTGACGACGCTCGTGTTGCACACGGCGGGCTGACCGTTGTCGAGCTTGCCCTTCTTGGCAGCTGCGCTCCTAAAGTCGGGCTCATCCTCGTCCTCGATGAGCACCTTGATGTTGGCCACGTCGTTGCTGTGCGTGCGCGGCTCGGTGAAAAGCGTAAGCGGGCCGACGTAGTCGAGATGGTCAGCCACATGCTCGGGGACCGAGTACTTGGGGCTGCGCACGGCGAGCGTACCGGTGCGCCTGTGCTGGTAGACGCCCAGGTCGGCATTGAGCAGCTCGCGCGCCTTCCACACGGGCACGTTGACGGTGAACGTGTCCATGGACGCCGAGCGCCTGGCGAGGGTCTCGTCGATCTCGACGCCAGCCTCGCGCAGCCAGAGCTCGACCTCGTCAACGGTGCGCTTGTGCGGCTGCAGGTAGCTCGACACCTCGTCGGCCGAGAGGTGGCGACCGTACAGCTCGTGGCTCGGGTCCGAAGTCTGCTGGAGCCTCTTTTCGAGACCGGCGACGTCGGTCTGACGGAGCGCAAAGCGGAGCGCGACGGTCTGGTGGTCGTCGGCGTCGGAGCGACGCACCCACGTGTCCGGCACGGGCACCTGCTCCTTGACCACGAGCGTCGAGGCTGGGTCGCGACGCACCGCCGCCGCATCGGCCATCAAGGCGAGCGAGGTAAAGGCAACCAGTGCCTTGACCGTGATGAGCTTCATGGTGGAAGCCGTTGCGCGGAGGGAGTCGAGGTGTTGCTGAAGGCAGCCGCGGTGAAGGAGGCTAGAGGGGAGGGGCTGTCCAAAGAGGGCAGGTGGAGTGGAGTTGGAGGAACACAACGAACAAGTTCAATGGATGGGTTGCCTCGATCTGTGAGGAGCATATGTCAGATGCGGTATATATGTGAGGGCGAGACAGAGATGAGGGTCGCACGCGGAAGGAAGTCGGTTGCCGAGGATGAAGAGGAGCGGCGGAGCGGCAGGTGTGCAGGACATCCGGCAGTGCTTCGAATGGCTGCTTGGCGTTGGCGCCGTGGATAGGGTGCGTCATGGCCCAAGCGTGCACCGCCGTCGACGAGGAATCGGCAAGCGGAAGGGACTGCGCCGAAGCTTGGACGGCCCATTTGGTCAGCCGTGGCGGCCTTGGGCTGGCAAGCGAGATCTAGGACTGGGATGCGGATCAGGGTCTTCCATGGCCGACTAGTGGCTAGCGGCGGAGGGGGAGTGTGCGTAATGATGGGGAGCCGTTTTGTGTTGAATCAAAATGTTTGGTAGCCGAGAACCGCGTTGCAGCGGTAGGCTCGGCTGGACAAGGCCGAGGCGGCGGGTCGTGTGAGTCTGTGTGCTTCCAAAGGCGCCTCTGTTCGAAGGTGTGTGCGCATCCACGGCCAATTCGAGGGTGCCATCACACCATCGCGCCGTCGTGATTGGGCGCGCAGGTATTGGTCGGGGCTGAAAGGAGGCAGGAAAAGGGCGTGCGGATGTGGGGTAGCGATGAGCTGATTGGGCGGATTAGATACGACCGGCGGTTACAGTGGAGAAGCGGCGGCGGCGGCGGCGGCGGGTGGAGGAGACGGAGCATGGTGTGCCGGTGCATCCGTCGGCCAAGATGTGTTGCAACTCGAGGCGATTGGTGTGCCGCTTGTTGTAGGGCCTCTAGCTCGTCTGATGTCTTTGTGAGGTATTTTAGTGCGACTCGCTTATGCACCTGCATCGTCTCGGCTTGGCTTTTTGCTCGGATGGCTTTACTCGACTGCCTCGACGCGGCAGTGCGGCAGCCATGGCTAGAATTTAGCGATGCTGCATCGACAGCCAAAACCCGCCTTTTCGAAGCGGCGGCGAGAAGATGCCGCCATGAATGCCGCACACGAGATGAGATGGAGCAGGGTGTCGGATGGTGGCGCAAGTGTCAAGCAGCGGTGTTCAAGCGGCTGCCGGCGGTGCGGAGTGCAGAGTGCGGAGTGCCAAAGGGGCGAGGGCTCTAGTGAACAGATGAAGGGACGGCCATGAAATCCGGCGATGCAACTCATGCCTCTCATGCAACTCATGCAACTTTTGCAGACGCAGGGCGACCTCATCGCGCCGCGGCTCTCGATGCCGGCCGGCTCTGGTGTGCAGTGCCGTGTGATGTGGGTGTGGATCCTTGAAAGGTACGGAGAGCCTAGGTCCGAAACTGACCACGCTGCGATGCCGCGCCGTGCGTTATCGGGCTTGTCGGTCGGCTCAAAAGGGGTCCTTGCTCTTGCAGCTGTCCGTGCGGGATGTCAGCAGCGGAGCAGGGCCAGCTTTAGGTGTGATGGCTTGTGATTAGCCTGGGGATCTATGGTCGGTGGGCGATGCTGAAAAATCGAGTTGCTTGTTAGGTCTGTTACGAGTTACAGCCGCAGGCTCAAAATTGACCATCGGGATCAGGCGGGTCTTGGCGCCAAGTTGTGGCTATCGGCGATGGCCGAGCCGCTGCAGGATCCCACGCGCAAATTTGTTGCAAAACGTGGACAGCGAGCACCAGGAAAAAATAAATCGCAAAAACAGGATGCAAAAAGATGACACCAAAGATACGAACACGCTGCCAGCGTCGCGTCTAGCACCGGCCAACTGTGCGGCTGCACGATGCGATGCTGGCGAACCATCGGCCTTGTCGTGACATAGCCGCTGTTCGGTACCAGTGAGGGCACCTCGGCGAGGCTTGCACGTGCAGTGCAGTGCAGTACGTGCCGAACGCTTCTCTTGCTTTAGCGCATGGGCATGGCTCGGAGATGCTCTGTGCGGCAGTGTTCGACGTGCAGCGTGCAATGCGCCGTGGCTGCCGAGCCGTGTAGACTCTACGCGCGTCTCGAATCGCTGCCCGATTGGACAGCTCGGTTGAAATGCGATTTTCCCAAAATTTGGCTGCGAGTCGCTGCCCGACGGGAAGCTGCGCCAACGCCCATTTTCGCGGCCTTTGCACGCCAAGCCTGCCCGAATCGTAGGCTCAAGAAACCTCTTGCGATGAGACGGGCGAAAGGCATGTCTTGTACCTGTCTGTCTGGCTCCCCGCGCCAAGACGGGGCATCTTTCCTCTTCGGGACCGCACACCCTCCCGCGTTGCACTCTGGATGAACATCCTCAACCGTCGTCAATGACGAATCTGCATCGACTTTGTCACGAAGCCTGCTCAGCTGCAGCACCTACACCGTCAAGGTCATCGGGACTGCGTTCCGACGCAGTCTTGGCGAACGCACCGAGCCAAGCCGTAGAAGCTCAAGCGGAATCTCAATACCAGCTGATGCTTCGGCCGCGGAGAAAGGAAACGGCAAAAAAATGAAAATAAAGAAAAAGAATACGAAAAAAAGGAAGTCGAGACGCTTCCAAGTGGATCCCGCGCCATGCTCCTGGAACACCGTCTCAGCTTATGGCGCCCGTTTATCCGCACATCATCCAATAAGACCTAGTGACAGGGTGGCTTGACACACGTCTCTGCTGCTACTCATGCTACACGCTAGCTCCAAACTCAAAAAATCCAAATGAGGCAAGCCGCCTGCTTTCCCCCTCCTGTCTCCTGCCTCTGTCCTGTCCTGTCACTGTGCGGATGCAAGTGCATCATGCAGCCCGGACGTGCATCGGCCTAGCCTTGTCTGGCCTTTCCTATTGTGACTCTGATCCTTCTACCGCCTGACTTCCTGCCACCATCCTCCCTGCCTCCCGTGTGCCATTGTGCCCGTGTGTGCCAGCGCCGGGCACTGTGTTCCTAGCCCACAACTCGCGCTCGAGCTGGTCTCGCCTCGTGCTCCGGTGCCTGGAAGCTCCCCCGTGCCTTTCCTTATGCTGCACTGCTGGGCAGTGTCATGCAATCTGCTCCCCCTTCCGAGCTGCGCTCACCACCTGCCCAATTGGGCTTCTCTTCCATGCAGCAGCTAGAAATCGCCGGCCGTACCTTTCCAGCTCCGCTACCTTTTTTTCACCAGGGCTGGCCCCTGATACCTTTGCACGTTGGTGGCTGTTGGTTCGTCGGCAGCTTCGTGCGCTTTGCTCGCGCTCGGTCAGCATACGGCAGCCGCTGTTGTTGTTTAGGCTGGTCCTCAGCTAAAGCAGCCAGCTTCCAGCTTCCAAAACATCCACTCTCCGCCAGATCCTCGTCCCGTGCCCAACTCCGAGGCTTCGGCGCAGAGAAGCCGCCCCAATCTCCGCGCTTGGGGACAAACACTTATAACGACCCCTCGAACGGAGCAGCGGCTGGATCTCCCGCTCCCCATTTCTCATCCCACTCATCCAAGGACCCTCTTCTTCACGCATCCTTATCCATACCGCCACGATGAGGATCCCCGCGCTTACAGCGAGCGTGCTGCTCGCCGAGCTCACGGGCACTGCCAAGCCACCTGCACACGTCAAGACCGGCACCGAGGCTCTCTCGGACGGCATTGTATACCCCGATACCCACATTGCGCCTGCCTTTCTGCCGCTCAGTGGTGACGCAGCGATCAACGCCTACATCCCCTCGTCCAAACCCTACGTTGCGCACATCGAGCCGCGCTACGTCTCGGGCTTCGTCGCTCCTTCTGGCTACACCTACAGCTGGGTCGTTGATGGCTACCGCTTGGCCATCGACACCGTCGGCAACAAAAACTACCTCACGCGTACAACCATCTCCAAGGACGCTTCGTCCACGACGCAGGCCCACGTCAATGCCTGCACCCAGTTTTGCGAAAAGACACCCACGTGTGCCATGGCATCCGTGATCAGGTTCAATAACTTTTCGGAAGGAAACGTCGTCTGCGCAGTGTATAGCGCCACGGCTCCAAAGTCGGATGCCATCTATACTACGGGCCCCTTCAATGGTCCCGGTCAGGTCTCGGCGTCGTATACGTTCAATAGGAAGGCTGGAAGGGTGCCCGGCACGTTTACTTCAACCGTCACCTCCAGCGCAGTAACCACGTCAAGTACAAGATCGGTGACTACTAGCTCGGGATTCACCACCATTCGCACGTCGTCCTCTACGACTTCCACTGTTGCTTCGAGCTCCACAACATCCCCCGTTGCCACTACTTCCTCGACCACTTCCACGCCGACTAGTGCTTCCTCTACCTCGACCACCTCCTCTTCCACCAGCTCCAGCACGGGCACGAGCACGACTTCCAGCGCGGGAGCTGCTGCCACTGCCACGACCAACACCACCACTGCACCCGTCTACGACCAGTGGGTGTGGGTCGACGTACCGGGCACGCAATGTGCCGACGGCAGCGCCACCGGTTTTGCGCTCAACCTGCACGCGGGCGCGACCGAGCTGGTCATCTCCTACCAGCAGGGCGGGAGCTGCTACGACTACAACTCGTGCTACGTGCAAAAGACGGCGTACAACATCGACTCGGGCTTTTCCAACGCGACCTTCTGGGCGCAGAATCAGCCCAACACGATCAAGTGGTGGTTCCCCTTTGCCCGCGATAACCAGTGGAACCCGTGGCAGAAGGCCAACTACGCCTGGATCCCCTACTGCACGGGAGACTGGCATGCGGGCGATAACACGGTGCTGTACCCCGGTGCCGCCTCGGCAACCAACCACAAAGGCTGGAGCAATGCCAAGTTGGACATGGCCAAGATCAAGCAGATGGTGCCGGCACCTTCGCGCGTGCTGCTGGCGGGTTCGAGTGCCGGGGCCTTCGGTGCGATCCTGCAGTACCAGAATGCACAGAACATCTTTAGCGGGACTCGGGTGGATTTGCTGGCGGATTCGGGCGAAACGCCCAAATCAGCCCTAGCAAGACCCTCGCAGAACATCCAACCACCCAGATGCCCCACCTGCGACGATGCCAGCTTTGACTCGTACATCGTTGGGCTCGCCAAAGCCAACACTGGCTCGAGATTCGCCAGCATGAGCTGGAGTAACGATACCACGATCCCCGTCAATCAGGGCGTGAGCTACGACGACTTTAGCGCCGAAGTGGTGCGGCTATTCAAGCAGCAGAATGCCGAGACTTCCAATTCGCGCAACTTTATGGTGCAGGGGAGCGGACACATGCTGCTGTGGACCACACAGTACAATGCCGCCGATGGGTACACCCAGGCAACGTTCCTCAACAAGTTCAAGACCGACGATCCCGGTTGGTCGTCCCACTAGATACCCGCTATACCAATGATTACCGAGGTCGAACTAGAGCATGCCTACACGTCGTGATTCGGGCAGGCCCAGCGTTGTGCGGGCGGAGAGCTTGCCGTGCGGTTCGATGACGATCTTTTGCAGCACGAGACCCGGTTCGAGCGGCCACCATCTGAGCGTGTGTTTGCCGCCCTGCGTCGCCGTTGATGAGGAGAGCGTCGAGGTGACGGTGCGGATGTTGGCGCTCACCACGTTGCCCCAATCCGCCGAATTGGTGCCCGGCGTAATGTTCTCCGGCACGGGCGTCACTTGAACCCTCGACCCAGCGTCCGAGTCGAGCTCGAGCGCGTACCGCAGCGGCCGCTTGTCGCGGTAGTTGAGCACGGGCGCCAGCCACGCCGTCACGTTGAACGCAGTCTCGTTGCCCGACGAGTGTGGGAGGTAAAAGTCGAATGCGAGCGAGGGGCCGCGGCCGAGGTTGGCGGTATCGTTGCCATCAATCGACTCGGCCGTGGGTGGGAGAACGGTGACTGCCGATCCCAACAGCCCGTAGCCCGGCAGAGACTCGATGTACGCTGGGGTAAACGAGGTGTCTCGTGCAGACTCGATCGTGGCGTGCGACGCGAGCATCGAGACACTGCCGTCTGGCGAAGCGACAAACGTGCCTGCCGCTGCCTCGTCGTGGGGCATGCACGGATCGACAGAGAGCGACACTGTCACGTTGGTGGGTGCGCTCATACCGGGCAGCCTCTCGTTGTTGGTGGCGTTGATATACACCATGGCGGTGTACATCTGTGCGGCACCGGTGCAGCTTGGCTTGGGCAACGCCGTCCAGTCGACGCTGAGCTGCACCTCGACCTCGTCATCGAATTCGGCGCCGGCTTCGAATCCATCGCTGCGTCTGTGCATATACCTTGCGCCCTGGGTGGCGTTGGCCGAGTCGGTAGCGAGTCGATGCGCCACACCCAGCCACGAAGCATTGGTGGTGGCGGAAAAGGCGAACTTCTGCGCGTCGCCGGCGCTGACCCAGATGCTGCGTCGCTGATCGCCACTGTACCTAGTCAACGCGGGCAGGGTTGGGTCGGGGCAGTTGTAGCCGTCGGGGCAGTTGTACTGGTTATCACCCGGCCATGCACCCATGCTTCCATCCACGCCGACGCGCAGATTACTCCCCAGCGCCGTATCCGCCCACGTGTCGTCGAGATGCATGTAGGCGAGGGGCGGGAGCATGTTGCGCATGGGCTGCTGCCAGTACTGACTGCCCATGTGCGGCTGGCTCATCATGTGCTTCCACTTGCCATTGCCGAGCGAGTGGTAGGCCGAGGTGAGTTCGGCATCGCGCGCCAAGTGCTCGCGCGCACGAGCGGCCCAGTGGTTCGCAGAGTTCTTGGCTTGTGTACCCGCGAGATTGTTGCGGCCGACGGCAACGTGCATGCGGTTGAGATTGGCACTAGCCAGCGTAGGGTATGCCACCAGCTGGAAGAAGGCATCCCAATTGTCACCGTCGCGAAAGTAAGGCTCCAGCTCGGACACCTTCGTTTCGAGACGGTCCCACTCGGCCAGCACCGACTCGGCCTCTGCATGGTTGACGACGGACCAGGTGGTCGCGTTGACCAGCTCCGGTTTGATGCGCGAGTTGAGCCACGAATAGCCCCGCACCACCTCGGCGATCTTGAGATGCTCATCGTTGGGGCCGGCGCCGAAGGTCTTGGCGGCCCAGGTGTCGAGCCACGTCGATACATTGCTGGCGTGCGATAGGCGCGACGAGTCGTACGCCATGTCGAGCATAAAGTGGATGGGCACCTCGACGGGCTTGAGGTCGCCGACATTGAGCACAAACATCTCGCGCTGGTCGTTGGCAAAGGCAACATTGAGCTGCTCCCACGCATTCACCAGGTTGACCGTATTCAGCCACTTGTACGACCGCGGTGGACCGACGTAGTCCGCATGGTAGTAAAGCCCGGCCCCCGCCGAACGATTCTTCTCGTCCGCAGTGGGGATCCGACGGATGAAGCCAAAGTTGTCGTCGGTCCATAGCAGTGTGATATCGTCATCGACACGCAGACCCTCGTTGTAGTAGCCCTGCACTTCCGTGTAGAGGCACATCATCATCGGCACACTTACGCCGTTGGCAGTGTGGGGGAGGAGGCTTTTCTGCTTGGCCATGATCGTCTCGAGCAGCTCAATGTTCGCTCCATCCAGCGCCTTGTCGCCGTTCCCACGCATGCTCATGGTGAACATGGTCTCGAGCCCCTCTGCGCGATCCACACCGTACTGCCAGTACGCCGTAATATTCTCCCTGTTCTTCGTGTAGTCCCAAGGTCCCTGGTACCAAGTGTTCCACTCCGGGGTATTGCGCGCCATGGGTTCCTGGTGGGATGTACCGAATACGATGCCCATCCTGTCGGCGAGGAGCTGGTTGGGGCCTGCGGCGCCTTTGCCGTGCGTGCCGTTGTTGGGGAGGTCGTCGAGGCCAGCGACGGCGAAGGAGTCGGCCCACATGGCGGGCCAGAGGAGGTTGGCGCGCAGACGCAGCAGCAGCTCAAAGACGTGCGTGTACATGGCGTCGTTGAACGACTGCGACGACGCCGGAGGGAAGGGCCCGCCAAAATGCGTGCGGGCCCAGTTGGTCAACGCGGGCGCTTCGTCGTTGAGAAAGATGCCGCGATACTTGACCATCGGCGGACCATGCGAGCATGCATTGCTGCCAAACGACCCATCGCTGCGGGAAGGGGAGTAGTAGACGGCGTTGTGGGTGGTGGTGGGCTGGACGTCGGCGAACCACTTCCAGGGGCTCACACCCATTTCCTCGCTGAGTGTGTACAGTGCGTAGGCGGTTCCTCGTCGATCACTTCCCATCAGCACGACGCCCCGGTCCGGGAGTAGGACGGACGACCACGACTCCCATTTTCCATCGAGCAGCGACGCTTGACTGGCGACGCTGCCGTGTGACGTGGCGAGCCCTTGGATGAGCGCGGAGGTGGATGATCCGACAAACAGCACGCGCTCCGAAGTGGTCTGCATGGCGGATGCGGCACTGACGTTGCGCACCACCACCTGAGCGTTGGGAACCATACGCATCATGTCTGTAGCTAAGCTGGCTGCTGCGTGGTGGATGACGGCAGCATCGTCGCGCGACGTGAGAATCGACGTGGTCTCGCCCGTCTTGGCGATCGCATAGCCACCGTCGTTGCCCAGACATACATTGTTGGCGCCAATGGCTCGTGTAAACAAGGCCAGCAACGCCCATAGGGCCAGAACGATCGTCCTCATGATTACTGATTCACCGCCGACAGAGAAAGGGGGGGAGGGGCATATATATGTCTCAGCCTTGACGTTTGACAGGCGGGATCCACCGGCGACTGTGCGCGGTGAGTGTGGGGAAAGTCGCCGAACCCTCATGCATGGAAGCCACACTGCAACTCCGCCTCCGCCGCCGTAGGATGTCCCACCGGCGACCGAACGGATGCTGCGGTCCGCACAAGCTCTCACCCTCGCCAACGTTGGTGTTTTAGCTCCGGCATACTCGCCTCCTCGCTACTTTGAGGGGTGGGAGATTTGCGCAAATTCACCGACCAGCTTCCTCGCTTCCCCACACACATGCGACCGGTCACCGGCAACCCCAGACGCGAGAGCTCGGATGCAAAAGCATGGTTGGTGCGAGTAGAATACAACTTAGCGGATGCTTTGGGGTTGGCGTGCAAACGCCACTCGCCTCGCTGCATCGGGTGGGGAGTCGTCATAGCTGCGCGTGGGCGCGTTGGCGAAAGCATGCTGCTGCGTGGGGCGGTAGGCGTACTGCGTGTACTCGTCTCGTGCGGGGGAGGACGAGTAGATCGCCTGCTGCTTGGCGCGGGGTGGATCGACCGGTCCGGTTCGCGCGGGGACAGGCATCGAGGTGCGCCGCACGTTGTACTCTCGGGGCCGCTCGGTGCGTTCGACACGCGTGGTGCCACTGCCGTAGTGGCGGGCAGAGCACTGGTGGCATCCACACACGTCCGAATGCGCCGCCTCCGGTCTCGTCTGCCTCAAACCGCCGAACTCGTCCACACCACTGGCCGAGGGAGTGGAGGAGGCGCTGAGGCGCGACCCAGCCGGCAGGCTGTCGTGGTACCGCCGCGCGGGCACTTCTTGGGCGTACGTTGATGTGCCAGACATCTGGTATCGAGACGCGATTTCGGGAACTCGTCCCCCACCCCCACCCGCGCCGGAGCGTGCGCCGCCGAGAGAGGGCAAGGAGAGCGTGGGATCCATGGTGGCTCTTCTTGCCGCACGTTCCTTTTCGAGCACGTTGAGTTGGCGTTGTTCGCGCTCCAGCTCCTTTTCCGCCTGGTAGCGCGCCTTCATCCGCGCGACAAAGCTGCGCTCGGACGCGGTGGTGTCGGTGCTGAGCGAGCGCGTCACACCCGTCGCCGACAAGCGCGTCGATCCAACAGCCGGCGCATATCGGTCCGCATCCTCGGCGCCGGTGGCGGGTCGTGGCAGACCCATGCCGATCTGCGAGCCGGAACTGCGATCGCTCGTTACGCTCTCACTCGGCTTGGACCGCGTCCAGCCACTGCCATTGTTGTGTGACGACGAGGTGGAGTAGAGCGCTGAGGAGGGGCGAGAGGCGGGATCGTTGTCGAGCTGACGCATGCGTTCGCGCTCGCGCTCCCACAGGCTGAGCTTACGTGCGTTTGCCTCTCTTGCCGCAAGCGGACCCAGAGCGCTTTGCTGGCTGCTGGTGCTGTAGACGCTGTCGGATCGCCCAATTGCACTGCTGGCGTCCCTGCTGGCGTCGGTGGGGTTGGACTGCTCGCGATACGATTCGAGCGCGCGCTGGGCAGGACGCATTGCAGTCGCTGCGGTGGGCTTGGCGCGATCGGCATGCAGGGCGGGGAGAGCTTCGCTGTCGTCTGGGGTGCGCGGGATGCGGGTGCCGTCGTCGGATCCCTGTGCGCTGTGGCTGGCGCTGAGACTGGGTGCGGCATCCGAGTCTTCGCGCGGAACGGCGAGCTTGTCGACGACGGAGCCCTCGTGGGCGGAGGTGTCTGTGCGGTCGTGGCCGTGCGGTGGCGACGCGGCGTCGCCCGAGCGAGATGCCGCGATGGAGGCAGCCTCCCACGTCTCGGGCTGCGCAGCCATGGACTTCATCGTGGAGCCCGTGGGCGCACGGTCGAGTCGGGCGACGCCGCGTTCGGCCGAGGCTTCCACTTGACGAGGCGTGCGGTCGGTCGCCACGCTGTGCACCGAGGCGGCATCGTTGTCAGCCAGCGGCGCAGGAGACAGCGATGCGGAAACGGCAGGAGGTGGCTCGTTGGCGGTGGCTGACGAGTGTGCTCGTGAAGGGGTGCCTGTTTGAGCGGGTTGAGGCTGTGGCTGCTGCAGCGTCGAGGATGAGGTGGCGGGGGTTGCGCTGGTGCGGCTGGCGTTGCTGTTGATGCTTGTGCTGCGTGCTAGGTTGTGAAAGGCGGCATTGGGCGGAGCGAGCGGTGAAGGGGGACGCCAGCCCATCTCCTGTGCGCGAAGGATGGTCTGAGTGTCCTCGTTGATCTTGGCGTTGATGTGTGCCTGGGCGACGACCTGCGCCTCGACCTGAGCGGCGAGGCTTGCGAGATAGTCGGCCTGGCCCTGTTGCGCCTCTTCGAGCTCGGAGTGGTGAAGTGCAGGCATGAATTCGGACGAGGTGAAGCAGAGGAGATGGTTGAGGCGGCCTATGTGCGGACCGACGCGACGGATGGACTCGCAGCGATGTTTAAAGTCGACGTCTGCGAGGCCG